GCCAATAAATACTTGCCAGCAAGATGGCTGCCTCAGTGAACTCACATAAGACTGGAACGCCAGCTCTTTGACTTTCCCTCATTAATGAGTGAAGCCAAGATGGCGGAACATGAAGCCTTTCTTGCAAGTACACTGTGTAGGTATGATCCAGGCCACTGACGCGGAAATTTCAAAGGCAAAATAAAAATTGCCCCAATTTTATGTATGAAATAGCGTTATTTTCTGACATTTTCCCAAATATTTCTCTAACATATCATTACCTCTTCATAAATTTTCCATTTATTCTCAATGGTATGACCTCTAAGTTGTCCAACGGTACTCTCTCTTAAGGAGTTGTCAAGAACAAACACTTCTTTTTCACAAAGCATTTCTTGTTTCAGCTCGGCAATCTTCGCGTTCTCTTTCAAATTCTTCAGCTTTCCTTGGAGAAACATCTTGGATTTTTCTAAAGTTTGAGAAATTTCTCTTGATATTCAATGGAACGTGAACAAGTAGAAGGCGACATAATAGAACCATAGTTATGGATAAATTAATGAGAACGGTGATAATCTCAGCCCCGTTTCAGACGTCGAACTTTTCATGCGCCGAAGAATTTGTACATCATATATTATTTATATATTCATAAATACACAGTATGTGAGTGTATCAGTAATTCTTTTCCCCCAGTGAATTTGCCTGGCATTGCCAACATTTTCATGCACGTAATTTCGTAAAGTAAACTATAGTAGGTAGAACAGTATCATTGATATATCATAACTATTTTATTTAGGTGGAACGGCTAAAACATGCTTCCCAAGGAGTAAATCTTTAACGCTGTCTTTTCCTCGCGTTTAAGAATCAATTCGCGTTTCGATTTTCGAAAATTATTTAGTTTACTAGAAGAGCGGACAGAACGCAATCGTCAATAAATATTGCCAAGACCAGACGCGGGACGCCTACAAATTTGACAGCGGATTAGATTCGCAGCCAATCATCAATTCCCGTTTTAAAAACATAGCCAAACCCCGGCAGGCGGTCCCATGAGATAATATATAAATTACAACTACAGTCAGGGTGAGTAAAAAAAACTGACACCTTTGAAATTCAAATTAGCTGTGAACTTATGGCTGGAATATGACAATTCCCATATACAATCAACAAAAACGATTTGATAAAACTGTTCTTTTGTATTTACAGAGCTTAGTCAGAATGCATTTTAACTCCCAATGGGAACAAACTTTATGTTTTATGTAATTAATATGATATGCTTCGTATACCTATGAAATATTTTAGGCAACTTCTGTCACATTACAGCCGCTATCCAGCTAATTTGAATTTCAAAGGTGTCCGTTTTTTTTGACTCACCCTGTATAGTGCTTCATTGTGCATTGTTCGTTGTGCATTATATTGTGCGAAGTGATATCGTTTCCGTTTTGTGATCATGTGCACTCCCAGTTTCTTCTCGTGCCTACGTATTAAATATCCCCCAAATTAGTATATATATCACACTTTCCTAGAATTTATGAACTTAAAACTTCATTAATGACAAATTGCCAGAAACCAAGCTGTAAGCTCTTTAGGCAGTATAAAGAAATTAAGAAACCGATTGCTCGTTTAATTAAGAGCTGTATTTCTGAGAACGTGTATACGTACAAAAGAAATCTGTCGGGTAGAACAAATATATGAATACGCATCACCCACTACAAATTATCGCATAAATTGATTTAAATATAAATATGACATAAATCGAAGGCTGCTTTCCACTGTCGCGTTTCTTGCACGTACGTACACGCACGTATAAAAGTTTAAAATCATATAAATGATACATAGGCTGAATTTCAGCCCAGTTGTCATGTAATCGTATACAAATTTAAACCAGGACAAAAAATTACTTTTTCGTTGTTTATATTATTTCCAGTATATGTGCAAATCGCTTTTCCTGCATGAAAGGTCAAGTCAGTATCGTATTAAAGAATACGAACTTTGACAAAGTCGATCAGCGCTTGCGCTGAGCCAAAACTATTCCTTCCCTGTAATCAACCGTAATAAACCGTTCCTAAAGTATACCAATATGTTTAGACTCATAGACATAGGAATTGAGACTCATAGAACGCCAGATGGTGAGCCGTGAGCCTGCATCACAAAACGAAAGTCGAAAGATGAATTTTGCTATATAAAAATTACCTGTTTATAGACTCTACACAGCAGGCAAACTCTGATTGAAATAATATTCTTGTAAGTTTGCATGGTTTACATCAAATAAGTAAATTGGTTTGTAGATATACCACGTAAGTACTACTGCATGCATGCAAAGCTTTCTAAAGACGAAGATAATTGTTCATTGATGATTGATGAAAGCCCCGAAGGCCCTACAAACAAATTTACTTAAACTCTAACTGGCAACAAATGGAAAACAATATTTCATAGTAAATGACTGTAGATTAAAATATCGTACCTCAGTGAACCTTAATGTTGTTGACTACTTGACTTGTGGACTTGTGCGTTACTTCAGTCTTGCGTATCTGCGTGTCTCTAGTAGCCTGCGTTGCCAGCCGGCTAAACACGGTTATATCCGTCTGCGCATTAGCGAACAAATTCATGTTCCAGTACCAGGAAATGAGTACTGACTCCTGATTGGCTCGCTTTTGTGATAGTTATAACATCGTTTCTGATTGGTTATGGAAATTACACGGGCTGGCACCCTAAAAATCAAAATGGCTACATTTCCGGAGCGTGCTTGGAAAGAAGCCTTTTTATCTGTTCAGAAACAATTCCTCATCGATCACCTCCTACCAGAACAAGTATCTGCAGTTAAAGCTTTTATTGAAAAGGGAAATGTCTTTGTAAATTTGCCGACGGGGTATGGTAAATCGTTAATATTTCAATGCATTCCTATCGTGTATGATATTCTGTACTCGAGGCCTCGTGGCACTAGTGTAGTTGTTGTTATTTCGCCATTGAAAGCTCTAATGAAAGATCAAGTAGAATACTTAGCAACTTTTGGTGTTCCTGCCATTGCTATTGGGGATGAATACGATGAAGAAACAATACAACAGGTCAAAAACGGGTATTTTTTGATCGTGTATTGCTCTCCTGAATGTTTGTTGTCAACGAGTACTTGGAGGGAGATTTTCAACGATTGCTGATTTCCGTGAAAACTGGTTGGTGTAGCTATCGACGAGGCTCATTGTATTACTGAGTGGTACGTTATGTGAATGCTTTATAATTATATTAAAAATATCTATTTATTACTCGCCAGGCACATAGTCTTACATAGCTACACGTTAGCTAATGCATGCGAGGACGATCTTACCAGTCACCCCATGTGTCATAAAATTATTTGGCATAGTAAGACCTATTAAATTTGACAAATAACAATGTTTATTGATTACAACAGATAGTATACCATTTCTGCTCAATATGAAAGAATACTATTTGAGATTACGGACAAGTCGTTAAAAGTGTGTGTGTGTGTGTGTGTGTGTGTGTGTGTGTGGGGTGGCTGATTCAACTATGTATTTATGAATATTTATCATCACTCCTTTTCCATTTTAGGGGTTTGTCAAATTCAAGCAAATGCCCATTCCGAAAGTGGTATGGTTGTCTAGGTGAACTCAGATCACTTATTCCACAAGAATGCAAAATAATGGTTCTAACAGCAACTGCATCAAAACTTACTACAGAGAAAATTTTGGATGCAGTTAATATATCTCGCGATACAATTATGATACAGCAGAGTCCAGATAAAGTGAACATTTCATACACGAGACAATACCTTGATAAAAATTACCCCATTGAAAAGCAATTTGGTGCACTTCTTGGAGAATGTCAAAGGCTTGGAATAAATACACCCAGAACTATAATATACTGTCAAACACGGAAACAATGTGCAATACTATTTCGTTTGTTTGAAGTGTGTCTTGAAGAAAAACTTTATCATGGTAGCAAAGATTATCGAAATCGTGTTGTTGACATGTACCATGCAGGCACACCAGAATCTGTAAAGGAACATGTTTCTGAGCAAATGTCAAATGAAAATGGTGTGATTCGTGTACTAATATCATCAATTGCTTTTGGGATGGGTGTCAATTGTAAGCAGGTAAGAAGAGTTGTGCATTTTGGACCCTCCAAAAGTATAGAATCGTATATTCAAGAGTGTGGTCGAGCTGGTCGAGATGGAGTTCAAAGCACATGCATGCTTCTATATAATGGCCTACTCTCTGTGCACTGTGATAATGACATGAAACATTATTTAAATCACGAAGGATGTTTGAGGGAAAAGCTATTGATTCATTTTGGGTACAAGGTGGACCACAAAAACTTTCAGTTTCTGCACAACTGCTGTAGTAACTGCCAGCAAAGTTGTTTGTGTGGCACATCCTCTTGCAGGAAACTTTGGAGTCCACAACTTGAGCAAGAATGTGACCTTGATTTATATACTACTGATGAACAGGAGAAAAGCAAGTTGACAAGAGTTGTGACCAAGAAAGACAAAAAACTATTGAAGGAAAAGCTTATCAATTATCAGAGAGAGATGCTAAAAGAATACAACATTAAAAATATGGTGACATGTCCAAATATGTTACTAGAATTTAACATGTTTCATATTAATCAAGTACTTGGTAGTTGCCATTCTCTATTTACTTTGAATGATGTTTTAAAATCTGTTGAAATATGGCGACATAAGTATGCTGTTGAAATCTTAAGAATTATACAGGATATTTTTGGTGACATGGAAATAGAAATACCTGATGATTTAGAAGACTCAGATGAAGAGGAAACTCTTACTACAGAATGGGAGGCTTTGAGAAATGATTCATCATGTTTGGAAATTGTAAATAGCCAAGATCTGGTTGCTATTGAATCCACCATGGACACTGATACTTCTTACAATAATATTTCAATATGACTTTGTTGACAATATATGTATTTTGAACAGTTATTAACAATATGAATATAATTATTTACAAAATATACAAGTAGCAATTTTTTAAGATCCCAAACCCATTAATTAAAACTAAACATTATTTACACTTCATCTCGCTTTTCTGTTCAAAATCATGAATTTTTTATGATTGTTTATCCATGTAAACATTTTATGCATATCAAAGCCACTCAACAAACTTGGCTTAACATGTTTAAAAACACTGTATCTCCGTCCTGGTGTGCATGTGAAGGCATTATTAACTACTAATTCATTGACAATTTTCTTTAGATCCCCTTGAGTTGAGGTCTTAACATGTCTTCCTGCTCTTTTGAAAACTGATAAGTTGGTGTCAAAAGTCTTCATCAAAGATGAGGTTACCCCCAGTGAGTGACAGATTCTATCCAGGGATTTATCTGACGCACCTGCTCCTTGATTTTTTATAGCCTCTTTTACCAACTTGTTTAAAAATTCCAACTGCAGGTCTAATGGAATATTTCCACTGATTCCAGGTTTGCTTTTGGTAAAGCGGTTCCAAATTAGATGATGTGTACACTTGGGGCTCAATAAAGCATTTATCTGAAACATCAAATACAGTGCTTCCAGTGAATACTTGGCTGACCCTCCTTGATGTTTTAAGTACATTAAAAAAAATTTCCAACACCGAACAACTCTCTGACCATCCCCTTCTGATATTGCGTCGAAAAAGTTCAACACGAGCATGCCATAGTCAAGAAGTGATCTCTGGTATGACAACATATCATCATCCTCATGAACAGATGTTGCTTCTAGAATGTGTGCATTAGAGTCTCGCAATGACACAGGTGGATTGTGTTTAGCTTCGTGGTCTGTTCTTAACTTTCCAGCATGAGCAAATGTTTTTGTACAGCCAGGAGCCCGGCAAGGGAACCTGCCATGGATATCTGTTTGTAGATCTTCTTGGATTGAATTAACTGACTCTTCAACATCACTGTTACGCCTTTGATCAATAACAAATTCATCAATGACAAGTGATGAAATGTTATTCAAGTAGGATTTTCTCTCTTGTAAACTTGCACTTGCAGTTGTTGAAAACTTGTGTTTGCTTGGCTCTTCATCAATCTTCTGCATTCCTAAAAGATGCATAGCTGCAGCAATGATTCGAGCTTCCACTTCAATGACAAAAAATCTTCTACAAGCATTGGCTGCTGCAGTCACATCTTGCTTTACATTTCGCCTATTCACCAGGTTTCTGTCGCTAAACATGGTACACTTATCGCCAGCTGATGCAACATTGTATAGTTGAGAGAAAGCCACCTAATAAAACAGAATTTGGCATGGTACACTGTAATGATGTAAGATATTTTCATTTAAATACAATTATGGTAACCTTGTTCTGGACTCAATGAAAGTGTATTATATGCTTTAATTTTACCACAAAGTCGTTTACCTCCAAAAATTTGTTCCCAGCATGCCAATCTGCAATCTCAAAGTGCAAGCCTTCAATTCTTTCATCTGGCGTAAATCCATTTGCAACTGAGCTAAGCCCATTCACCCCACGCTCAACACTTAATTGGTCACCAACGACCCCTTGTCCAGCATATTGCTTATCTTTGTCTTCACCATAACATGGAACATACTTTTGAAGAGACTTCAGGATAGCTAGTATTCCGTCTGAGTCATTTTCATTATCATGCAACATACCAAGAAATGTCTATAAAAAAATAAGTAAATATAAGCAGTCTCATGGTGTTGGCTTCTGTTTAGGGCAGATAATTTATCTATTTTCATATTTATCATAATTGGCTAAACTGCAGAATACCCTTTCACTAGTCACAGCCGCTACTCATAGCCACCACAATGCTGGCTACTGGCTACAGGTTTAATTAAGATATTTGAGAACGAGGTTATACAATAATGATGTAATGTTAAATGTATAGCAGCTATAAATTATTATTTCACTGGCTACTGGCTACAGGTTTAATTAAGATATATCAACTATCAGCTTAATTAAACCTGTAGCCAGTAGCCAGTGAAAAAAATAGACCTACATTTAGCATTACATCATCATTGTAATGCCTCGTTCTCGAATATCTTAATTAAACCAGGTGTAGCCATGTAGCCAGGTATTTAATGATTATTAAATATCAGTACTCATAGCCAGTAGCCGCTTTCTTCAAACACAGCTTCAAAAATGACAAGGTATTCGACTACAATTGCTTCGTCATAATTTATCATATATTCAATAAAATTAATAATAACTTGCAAGTGTGTTTTTCCATAACTTACCAAATCTGATTTCATACACATTTCTTTTGTGTACATATGGGGAATATGATGAACAGCAGCATCTGATAAGAATTCCAAACTTTTTATATTGGTAGAAATAACACGTCCCACCAGAGCAATATAGTTATCACGTTGCTTTTGATTATCACGACAAGATGGGAGACATTTACCATTCTGAAGTTTAAGAATCCCATCCTTAGGCTGCTCTTCACCAAGGTGATTCCCTGAAACACGGTTTTCAATTGCCATTACTGTTACACAGTGCTTGTCTACATTTTGGTGGTCCTCTGTCATACGGTGAACCTCTTGGTGATAGTCAATGTTGTCAAACACAAGTTTTCTTCCAACATCTTGAGTAAAACACCTGTTATTCTGTTGACCATGTGCATCTGGGTTTATTTGGGCTGCTCGTTGTTCCATAAACTCCCCTTGTTCTTTCACCGAATGTAAGATGTCCTTGTTGTAATCTTTTCCAAACTCGTCCAACTTCTTATATACATAAGTATGACTGGTTGTGATTTTCAGTGGACATAGCCGGGCAAGTGTATTCTAAAATTCATAAATTAGATATTACTTGAAATATCCCTTTTAATGCATTGAGGTTAATAATTAACCATCCTATGCACATTATGATGAGAAAAAACATGTGACCAAAATCAACTCCCGCCCCTCCCCCACCCTTACATCCGGTAAAGCTATAGAGCTTTGATAGAGCAACAAAGGATACTTTGTGTGAGTTGCATTATTTGTTAGCACTTACCATCCAGTTAGAATGATAAAGAAATATGGTCAACAAAAGCTGAACGGCAGTCATATATCTTGACCTGTTCTTTAAACATATCGAAGCTGCCATTGCTACAGCTGCAAAATCTGGTTTATCTTTGGTTGATTTACTTCTCTTGTTAATACTTGCTGCTGCAAGAACAGAATGAAAAAGTGGTGCTCTGTCTTTTATCTCATTTGACAGATTTTCCATGGAAAATGACAGCATGCTTTGCTTGTCTGTTGCTCTGAGACAGGATGGGGTTTTCTTTGAACAAAGTTTAGTCACCTCATTTTCAATTTCTTTCACCATTAGTTGCTTAAGTTCTCTTTTTAGATCAGAGCTTTTCCACGCCGCATTAGCTATTTGTTTGTATGTACCCCTTAACAGCATCTTGCCAAGTGACTCAAGTTCAGAGGGGAGTTTTCGCTCAGCAGTTTTGGACGGCCAGTTTATCTTTACAGTCACATCGACTTCTCCCTTTTTTTGCTGAAAAACTACGGGCGAGGCAGGAATTTCGAGACGAGTATTTAACCCAGAATTTGGCGTGTTTTCTTTTACTGGTGTGGATGTTGTGGGCACAAATATACGCTGTCGTTTCGTCGGGGAGGCTTCGCCAGCAACTTGAGATTTGTTATCCTCACTTCGTCTCTTCGTTTCGGACGGTGTCTCGTCGATCTTGCAGGCATTTTGAATAGCCTTATCGATTTCAGACAACTGTTCTTTCAAACTTTTGCGTTTTTTCAGTTTCGCGAGACAATGCTTACAAATATACTTCACAGAACTTTTCACCGGGACAGTGAAAGGGAGATTTCTTAACGCTTCTTTCACATCGAATTTTCCTTTTCCTTCTATAAAATATCTTTCCGTGTGTTTAACTATATCTTGAGAACATAATACACATGAATAATTCATGAATAAGTAGTCTTTTACAGTCTTTTACCAATATGGTTCTATTCTTCCTGAAGCCTGCGGGCAGGCTGATATTGTTTACTGCTTCAGTAACCAATCAGAAACGATGTTATAACTATCACAAAAGCGAGCCAATCAGGAGTCAGTACTCATTTCCTGGTACTGGAACATGAATTTGTTCGCTAATGCGCAGACGGATATAACCGTGTTTAGCCGGCTGGCAACGCAGGCTAGTCTCTAGTGTCCACGTATATTATGGATCATGGTCTTGTGCGCATGAGCAAAAATTGTCATTCCAAGATGGCGTACAATCAGTGGTTTTTGTCTAGATATAAACATGGATAGTTAAAAGACTCGATAGGAAACTCATGGCGTCAGCATTTTAACCTTGTTGAAAATCGTGACGTAACGCACGATATAGCTTGCTGCTTGCCTCAAGTCGCGTCAAGTTGATCAGGTCTTCATTGTGCATTTTGCTGTGATTTTGCGAAGTATTATCGTTTCCATTTTGTGATCATGCATGTGCACTCCCGGTTTCTTCTCGTGCCTACGTAGCTATTAAATATCCCCTATTAGTATGTATATCACAAGTCACACTATATTACACTTTACTATAATCTAGGAACTTAAAACTTAATTAATGAAACCAAACTGTAAGCTCTTTAGGCAGTATAAAGAAATTAAGAAACCGATAACTCGTTTAATTAAAAGCCAGATCTGCTGTACGTATTTTTGAAAACACGTATACGTACAAACGAGATCCGTCGGGCGGAACTAATATGTGAATACGCATCACCCCCTCCTAATTATCGCATAAATTGATTTGGACGAAATCGAAACAAGTCGAGGCTGCTTTCCACTGTCGCGTTTCTTGCATATAAATGATACTAATAAAATCTGAAAGGAAAAACGTTTTAAGCTACATAGGCTGAATTTCAGCCCAGTTGTCATGTAATCGTAAACAAATTTAAACCAGGACAAAAAATTGCTTTTTCGTTTGTTTATCATGATTATCTCTATATATGCAAATCGCAGTTGCTGCATGAAAGAAAGGTCATTAAAGAAACGAGCTTTGACAAACTCAGCGCTCAGCTAAAAATATTCCTTCCTGTAATCAGCCGTAATAAACCGCTCCTGAAGTATACAAATAAATTCAGACTCATAGGAATTTACCGCCAGATGATGAGCCGTGAGCCTGCATCACAAAACGAAAGTCGAAAGATAAATTTGGCTGTATAAAAGACTCTACAGACTTTATAGACTCTACACAGCAGGCAAACTCTGATTGGAGACAAATATTAGAAGAATATTATCTTGTAAGAATATTATCTTGTAAGATTGCATGGTGACATCAAATAAGTAAATTAGTTTGTAGGTACACCACGTAAGTACTACGGCAAAGCTTTCTGCTTTCGGCCCGTTAAAGATGAAGATGGTTCATTGATGAACGCCCCGAAAGCTTTGTTGTGAGTGGACCTACAAACAAATTTACTTAAACTCTGACTGGAACAAATGGAAAACATTAATATTTCATAGTAAATACTGTAGATTAAAATATCGTACCTCAGTGAACTTGGTCCAATTATTGCCTGGATGATAAAAAAATTTAATTGTTGTTGACTTATTGCGTTACTTACGTATCTGCGTGTGTCCAGTGTCCACGTGTACTATGGATCATAGTGTTGTGCGCATGAGCAAAAATTGTCATTCCAGATATAAATAATACTCATGATTTTTTGTTAGATGAAAGGGAAAGAGAGATATAGAACTCAACTTCGTGTCGGTTATATCAATTAGAATCAAATTAAAATTTATTTTACTTTGCTCTCGTACTTAAATTTTTAATACCAATTTTTTCATTTTCTTGGAGTTTACGATTGCTTTATATAAAAATTATTTAAATCGCTGAATCACACTTTTTACAATTTACTGGAAGGTAAAATACCCAGCAGAGTGCCTTATTGCTGTATACCTCACAACAATGAATACATGATAACTGCTCAAATACCAGTGCAAAACAACAGTATTGTTTTCATTTGGGCAAAACCATACACAATCCGGTAGAGATTTTTCGTAATATATATTTTAATACATTCTATAGAATTGATTAGACACTGATTAGACCATGATTAAAAAATTACAAATATAAAAGATCCGAACGTAAACGAATTTACAATACCTGAAGAGTGAATCTCTACGGACTAAAGTGACTCTTGACTGTCTTTACAGATAACTATCTCGAAATGTTTCGACTACCTCAATCCTATTATTTAACTTATGTGCTGGCGGCGTGCTAAATAACTGTCAAAACTTGGCCACTAATTTAATCAAATTGCATGCAAATCAATTGGTTGAACCAAATAGAATCATTGAAACTAAATCTATACTAAATTGTTAATAAAAATTGTCACCTTGCGAATGTCCGTTCCAACCCTCCGGGCCACGATTAAAGTGATTCTTCCAAGATTTTTCCAAGACACTGAACGTTTGTACTCTCCGCCTTTCGTCTTGACCTTCACATTGCGTACGACACCGTCACGACCAGGATACACTTCGATCACACGTGCAAGATTCCACTTGCCTCTGGCGACGTTCGAATCGACCATCAATACAATATCACCGATCTTGAACTGTCTTTCTTTACTTCGCCTCTTTGCTCGTCGCATCAACGTCTGTGGGTACTCCCGATGGAAACGATTCCAAAACTGTTGCGTTAGTGCTTGCACGAACTCGAATCTCTTTCGACTAGGCCTTGTTTCTCGAAATGGACCTTGCAGAACTTCGACTGTCGCGCGACCGAGCATGAAGTGGTTCGGGGTAATGGGTTAAAAATCGTTCGCGTCGTTGGAAGGATATCTGAGGGGGTGGCTATTCACGAGACATTGTACTTCAGGGAATACAGTTGCCATTTCGTTCTACGTGAAAACTTGCTCTCTGACTACTGCTCGTAAGACTCTTTTCGTCTGTTTTATCATCGTTTCGAAAAACCCACCTTGGTGTGGACTCAGAGATGTGTTGAACTTCCGTCTTGTCTTGTGCACGTTCGCAAATTCTCCGATTCTTTTCTTTCCTTCTTGGAGCAACTTCTTCACTCACGCTCGCAACCGACGAATGACGTGCCATTATCTGAGCTGAAAGTACTTGGCCATTAATGATGGGATACGAATCGTCTCAATGCATGAAAGAAAGCTTCGCTCGACAAATCTTCGACAATTTCAAGATGCATTGCACGAGTTGTTGCACAAGTGAAGAGAGCTCCCCAAACCTTGATCCTTTTGCTACGACCATACTTCAGGAAAAATGGACCAAACAAATCGACGCCTGTGGTGGTAAACGGGAGTGAAAAGACCTTTAGTTTATTTGTTGGGAAGTCCGCCATTAACGTTGTGTAAGGGGTACTGTCGAAGTTTGCGACAGGTCACGCACTTTCGGATGATCTCTCTGATTAGATTCCTTCCTCGTGGGATCCAGAATTTTCCACGGGTTTCGCAGAGGGTTCTTTCACGACCAGCGTGGCGAACACGGTTGGGCGCATCTTTTATAACTAATTTGGAAACGAAATGCTCAGCTGGCAATAACACCGGGCGATTGTTGTCGTAGGACAGCGGAGAATGCCGTAATAAATTCAGCGTGCACGGTCTTCGCTAGTCTCGAGGCTAATAGGGCTGAGCGTGGGATCGTGGTTTGTCGGAGGGGTGCGACTCTATAGCCTTGGCAGAGACAAGACGAACTTCCTTTCAATTCTCGTAATGCCAAACGAGGTGGGCTGCTGCATCATACGCGAGGACACTGGCATCAGAGAAGACGTGCAACTCAGGTAATCCGGTGGGATGTTCAGGCTGTAAACATCTCGGGAACTGTACCGTCTTTAATTTCTCGATTTCGGAGAACAACTCTTTCCACGATTGTTGTGCTTCTCTCAGTATATTGGGTCGTCCCAATCGAACTCCTTAGTCTTTCAAATATCTTGAAGTTCTATTCTTGCCTTTATCGTCACAGCTGAGGCTAATCCCAGTGGATCAAACAATCTGGAGATGTTTGATAAGATGACGCGCTTCGTGTATAGAGCTCAGTGTCGTTTGACTTCACTTCGAAATTGATTGTATCTGATCTCGGATTCCAAGAAACTCCTAGCGTCTTGACTCCATCTTCTTGGTCTAGGTTCACCGTTTGGTTAAATCGATCGTTCCTTCGTCTGGCCGGTTTTCTGCCGGTAGTTTGTGAGGTCGTGTCAACACGCAATTAGTTAAAATTCCACAAACACAAAAAATTAAGTACCAAATTGGCAAAAATGCATATGAAAACTCTTCCTTAGTCCAGATAATGCCGGGGGAAACGTAACAATACAACATAGTCCTAGCAGCCTACGATGACAACTTCTAAAAGTGAAATTTTGTTATAAACCTCATTAATTTTTATTGCATTCAGGGAAACTTCATATTATTAATTAATACAATAAGCCCAGCACTAGATTATTGTTTTTACACCCTAGATCTCCATTATTATTATAAAAAGCGGTCATAATTCGAGGGCTTGGTCACATTACTGTAATTTGATTACAAATCAGACTAAAAATCTCCTGAAACTTCCAATGAGGATCAATCCGAAGCGTTGACTGCTCATTAACTCATCAATGGAAACCTATTTTATAACAAATTCTTTCAAATAAGAAGTAAAAAATGGTTTTACTATATAGGTTATAGGACGTTATATATTACCCTACAGTCAGGTACTTAGGCTTCGGTTTGGCCCTATTCAGTTAAAATTTCATCTTGCATGGCTGGAATAAGACCCTTACGAAAAGCTACAGAAAGCAATTCCTCTGAATCTTTGATATCTGGATATTCACGAATCGCCCACTTGAGATACAGCGAGAACTCATTCCAGTCCACCTGTCCATCCTGATCCATATCAATTGCTTTCAATGCACGTTTGGTAGGCTCGCATCGGTAACATCCAAAATATGGCGCCATGAAGCCGTTATAAAACGCATCGAATTCTAATTGATCATCTTTCTCACCATCGCGTATATCCCATTCGTCCCACGATTCTCGTATTTCAGCAATAAGATTCTGACCATGAATTGTTTTAGGCTTTTCATC